CGACGAGAGTGGGGGCGTGGCAATTATCCTATCTTCACCAGATTTCATACCTAATTTCCTGTTCCTAAGAAAAATTAGAGTACATGTCAAGTTTCCCTAGTTTAAGCCAGCTTAAACAAACAACTCCTCACCGCAAGGTTTTAAATAATCAGTGTCGTATAGGGCACTCCTTTTCCTGCTGCCGAGAGTGGTTTTGAAGTCAACACATAGATGGAGAGTATCGATCTCTGTCTCACCGGTCTTTTCCAAGATTTGGTTTATAGTGAAAACCTGGTCTATAATGGAATTACCAGGTCTAAAGCCACGCTGGTAAGGCCCCATCAATTCGTTGAGGGTGGATTTCAGCTTTTCACACAATACGCTCGAAATTATCTTTTACGCCATATTAGAAAGGCTGATGCCACGGTAGGCAGCGCACGCGTTCACCTGACCATATTCTGCATAATAGTTGATGCATGCAGCTTCTCACCACCGTACTGGAATAGCTCAGCTGGCAGTCCGTCAGCTCCCACAGCTTTATTGTATTAGCTCGTTTTGCGCCCGATCGCAGCGTCGCCCTGTAGCCGTCATCCTTTTTCTCTGCAACTTATTGACACTCCTCATCATACTACTTGTTCTTTCGCGCACGCTGAAATCTCACTACTTCTTCGGCGACGGTACATAATATGTGGGAAATGTGGTTCCACTGCTCGCAAAAGTCAAATTGTTCAAGTCGAATGGCGAAGACGTTGGCAGTCTGTTTTGATTTTCACCGTTGATCATTCTTTGTATTGTTTAATGCACATTTTTTTGGTTGTAAAGAGGCTGCAACAATATAGTGGTCCGAGTAATTGTTTGGCCTTCGGAGGGTAATAGGTCTAAAATAACATGATCGATTTAGATTAGGGTGAATTGGCTCCTGTTATGCACACCAGCACACTTAGGCCCGTTGTGATACTACAATGGATCTCCTTAGCCCTGATAACGAGCTTATTGCTAATGGATGTCGAAAATTAACTCACCCCTTTCGTTGATGTCACTGCCCCCCTGCGCGGCGTTGTATGGTGTGCATTCGCATCACCTGCTAATCATCTGTTTGTTCTGCACTAGTTTCTTGACACACGGCATTGGGATCCCTCTGTCGCGAGCCAAGTATTTAACATGGCTGATAGTCGTGGTGTCCTCATCACTAAATTGAGGGACAAGTGAAATATTTAATTTGGCACTTTCAGCTTGAAATTCGCCGACTTGAGCCCACATATGCTATGTTCTATCACCCAGGTAACCTGTATTTTGTCGATGTGACACCCGCGCCAGCAGTGCATCTGAGGCTGCTTTACTGTGGTGGAGAATGTTAAGGAAGTCATCACCCAGCTCGTCTGTTGGCCTTCTCTGGTCTGACCTCGGCAATCAGGACTTGTGCCGCATTCAGGTCGTTTCCATATACCCAGACCTTTGCGGTGTCAAATCCATGTCATCAAGCCGCCGTCTGTTCTTTCCAATACCGGCAGAAACTTCTTGATGAGCATCAGCACTGCCTGTTGGGTGGCCTTGTTGCTCGGCTCTAGTTTGAATACCCTCCAGTTAGTGTGTTGAAGAGCTGAATAATCTGCAGAATATCGACGAAATGCTCTTCCGCTTTAATTTTGGATCCATGTGGTATCACAATGGTCCCTGATTGTGCCTAAGTGTGCTGGCGCCATCTGGTCCTGGCAGTCACTTCAACCTAACCTAACCAAACCTAGTTTTTCACCAGGGCAGACTTCGCCCGAGCTGCCTTGTACAGTGCCACACAGACCTCTCGTCGTTACACGTAACGATTTTAATATTGCCCTGAAACCAGCCCACGTTCTTTCGGGAAAGCGGTTATCCATTACATCCATATTGACAGCAAGACTTGCCGTCTCTGCATAGGCACATTGCCATTGGATCCTTAGTAACAAACCGCCCTCCTTACTGTCGTCCAGCACACCTATCATTATGCAGTCTCTTTCAACCTCTGAGAAAGAGTACCCTTGCGTCTTAGGCATTTAAGCTTTCGTCAGCCATAAATATTTATGAGTATTTTTATGTTGGAACCTAGTTCTGCATACTACCATGTTTCAGGCACCGGCGAGGTTGATCAGCCTTAGTCCGTGCCCGCCGACAAGACTGAATTTTCTGACATTGGGACCAAAAATCTCTTCCTTGACCACCCTCGCATTGATGTCGGCTACTCTCAATTAGCTCACTCCTTAACGAGTCTTCGCTTGCTATTCAACGGATACTTGGTGTAAACACCGGTAGTCGTGAACTGCTTGAACCGGATGGATGCAAGGGAACCGTTTTTGGCCACTCCCTAGTGAATGGCGCTCAAAAACTTCCTCATATGCGTGAACTTCTGCCCCCTGAACAATTCCTCGAGTTATATATGTACATACAAATATATTTCCGAATAAATACTTTGTATCATTAATATAAAAAATTCATAACCTATATAATTTTATGTATTTCATAATTTATGCGTAAATTGAATAAACTTCATAAAAATAAAGTTCTCGTGCGTAAAATTACGAATGCAGTTTGGAGGATTTTTGCATCTAACTTTGATTTAAAATGCTAATGAACGCACAGTGCTCACCGGCAATACGCTTACGCATGCTTACAGTTATGTATGCCGCAGCAAATAAATGAACATAAAAATGCCACAATCAAGAAATTGCGTGCCACTATGGAGGTTGGTTTCAATGTATACTATGAATGCATATAGATATGTACATACATACATAGTCTTATATAAATATGTACATATGTATGTAGGTATGCTCGCAGCCACTTTGGCCACGGCTGTTACGCTCGTCAACCAACTAACTAAACCAAACAAAACGAAAAATAAGTTTTAATTTAGTCCAAAGCATGGCGCATAGAATTGAATTAGAACTATAGCAATTTATGGTACATTGTGCTCAACTATAAATACATATATGTACATCCTCTAGTCTAGTGTACATGGGCATATACAATTTTCAAATACCTCATGTGTACGTATTGCTTGCCAACGACTCGTATATTTTTAATTGGTTTATGAATGTGAAAACAACTTCATCAACCTTTTGAGTAAGTCCTTGCATGAATTCGTTGACGAGAAACTAATTTGAGAAAATTTCTAATTAGCGCATTAGCGATGATGGAAATTGTTCCAATGAGTGGCCAACATTGGCGCATGTTTTAGATTTCAGCAGTTGAGGCAACAAATGTTTTATGACTACACATGCGGAATATCACATGGTTTTTGGGCTTTTATGCATTATATGGTAGATTAAAACTTAAAGTAGACTTTATTTTAGTTTAAAAATGAAACAATGAATAACATTGTGCGATACGCCAAAATATCTTAGGAGTTATGCTAATTTTCGGGTGGGTATTGTCTCGAATCGTCAAAAAACCTATTTTCCACACCTCTCACATATATACGTCTGTAACTTAGTTGATTACACAGTGCTACAAAAGAAAAAACCAAATACACCCGAAACAACACTTACCTACAGGGTCTGGTGCGAAATGAAATTAGGTTTCTTATAGTTACTGAACCCTCCATTTTTTTAACCCGTTATTTTCCTACCTAAACAATTTTTGTGGAGCTTGAGGCCTTTTTTTGTGAAAAATTGATGTGGAGAAGACAACGCTAGTTTATAAATGGTCGAAGTTATAGCTACTATTTTGGAGATCACCGCATCTCCTCATCAGACTTCCTCACTCACTGGGATTCGAACTAGCGTAAAAAGCCACTAAGCCACTTATATACTGTTGTTACTTTTTCCACTTTTAAATAATGTCTAACAATATATTGCTGAACTTCCTCGGGTAAAAAAAATAAAAATTTTTCTTCATTTTTCAACTATGACCATCGCTAATATCAAAACATTTTATGAAGGTTGCCAAATATTTAGTATTTATTTAAAATTAATTTTTTTCACCTAGTACAATTGCATGAAAATTGTAGAAGTTTAGCAATTTAAGTTTAATTAAATTTATTAAAAATTTATTTAAATTTATTTAAAATTTATTTAAATTTATTTGAAATTAAATTTTTTTCACCTAGTACAATTACATAAAACTTGTCAAGGTTTAGCAATTTAAGTTTTAATACGGCCTTGAATTTATATGTCCCGGACTTTGAGAAATTCATCAATATTTCCTCCACTGACACTTTACAATTAATACAATTTTAAGAAAAATGGGCTCACTTATATCATATATGGTATCTCAAAAACTACTTCTCGGCCAAATTTAGCATAAACATTGCCCTTAGCCCCTTAAGCACTGTTTTGAAAATTTTTTAAATCGGACAAACACCACTCCTCCTGGTTTATAACTAGCTTAGAGTTTTTTTTTTTTTTTTTTTTTTTTTGAAATTACCCTTTCTTGGGTGGAGCGTGTGCTTTTCGTCCGATTTTCCAGACGGTGCTTAAGGAGGCTAAGCGCAATGTGTATACCAAATTTGGTCGAAATTGCGTTTCTCTGATTCACTGCTCTTGCCACTGGATGATATCATTACCCTCTCTACGCTGTCGGAAAGTGTTTAAGCTTCTTAAGTCAGCTACTAATGGCAATTAACTACAGCAAATTCGGACACCACTCGGTGTTCAGTTAAGCGCACAAAAATACAACGAATGCTTAATGAAGAATGCTTCTGATTTCCTTACAGCCGTTTCCATCAATTTCAATTAAGTAATTTTACCGTTAGGAATGTTATTGCGATATCTCTTCACATTTTCTAGTCGCCTAGTTACGATGGGCCTTTAAGAGGTTAACTAAAGGGTGGTGACTCCTACCCTTATTTATAACCACTGACTACATAGCCATAAGTATATCCTCCCTATCGGTAATTCGCTGCTAACCTCTCGATATAGGCCGACCAGAGCCCAGTCAGTTTCAGCTCCCCGTTGCTTGTGCTTACACAATTTTTATAACTTTTCAAACTACAAAGAAAACTTTCCAATGCCTTAGTACTAATTTCACTTTATATACTTTTCTTACAGATTCCAACCACGTCGACCAGTCAAATATCGACTGTATCCCACCTGGTGGCGTTAGCTAATCAACAGCATGCAGCATGCAAATCATCCTCAACTGTACTAGAACAACAACAACAGCATAAAGACAGTAGCAATACAAATACAACGCAAACCGCTATTGCCTCAGATGCGGCAATAACAACAACAATAGAAAACAATAAGTTGCCACCCACAGCAACCACCAAAGTATGTATAGTAGCTCCCAACGACAGTAATGGCATTAACTCCACATCACCTGCGATAAATGGTGGCACAACAGCGGTCGCCGTTGCCAATGGCGCTGCTGAGGTGCTTGAAGATCCTCAATTACAACAACAGCTGCACCAAGTGCAGCAACAAGCCGACATAGCAACGTCAGTTGGAGGAAAGACAGTAGCGCCGCCAGCAGCTTGTGCTTCCAATGCCACCACAATCACTTCCATATCCGCATTATCGCCGCAAACACCAACAACCGGCATCACCGCAGGCAGCGGTGGTGGTGATGAACAACTGCATCCACTGGCGCCCACAACGACGTCATTGGCCGCCGCATCCGCCTGCCAGCAGCTAACGCCTACACCCAAGCTGAAATATCCACAACCATTATCCAGCATAGCGAATCCCGTGCACAAAGTGACAAAACGCAAGGAGACGTTGGAGGCGAAACGTGAACGGAAAGCGGCCAAAACATTGGCCATCATCACCGGTGCCTTTGTTATCTGTTGGCTGCCATTCTTCGTGATGGCGCTGCTATTGCCGTTGTGTGAGACGTGCGAGATTAACGATGGCATTGCGTCGGTATTTCTTTGGTTGGGTTATTTTAATTCAACGCTGAATCCAGTGATCTACACCATATTCAGTCCGGAATTTCGACAGGCATTCAAGAGAATTCTATTCGGTGGCCACCGTCCCCAGCACTATCGCAGTGGGAAAATTTAAATACATAAATACCAGCCGAGATAGCAACTGGAGATGTAACAAATATGTAGTAAGTCAAAAAATTAATTTGTTTGGGAATTAACAATTTTATCGGTTATTTAAAATAGGACCAATGTTGCCAGATTCACAGTTTTAACTGTAAATTACAGGTTTTTTAGACAAGCTCATAGTGGTTTGAATTACCTCCTAGCACAAGTTACAGTTTTTTCGAAATTCATTTATTTTAACAAATGAATTAAAATTTCTCTTTCGAGTTTTTTTTGTAAAACAGAAAAAACAGCGTCTCCTCATTTAAATCAAATGAAAAGAATAAATTTACAAATCAATTTGAATAAAACTAGAAATAAACTAGAAATTCTACTGTTCTCCGGTATTTTAAGACCTAAAGATTTCTTAAAAAATCTTCAGGAGGTACTAAATTTTTCGTATAAATGCTAAAAAAAAATAACGAAGCGAAAAATAATGAGAATTTCATTAAAATCAAATGTGATTTAATTGCTCCATTTTATTCAGTCTATTTTTGTTTAGTTGAGTATAATGTTATTGTATTTTAAATGGATCGTTTTTTGTTATTTATTTTTAATAAAATTAAAAACATTTTTTTGAGGGTACAATTTTTTGTCGAAAATACAGTTTTTTCGGAAATTTACCGATTTATAAAAAAAAATCTGGCAACACTGCATAGGGCTTCCTCCGCAATTATTAGGGTGTTCGATTGTTGAACTGGTCTCCAAAACCACTCAAGACAATTTAACATAAACTCATGTATATTTTCTTGTTCTTCTTCACCACAATTGGCACTATAACCGTTGAAGCAATTTTGGCTGTTTCAACGTAGCACACCAGTCTGACTGGCGGCAACTAGCACGCCGCAGGTGGTCTTTCCAACGCACCTCCTCTGACATTGTATATGTATTGTAATGACTTATAGCTGAAACAACGGATAAGAACAATAAAAAAAATTAAATGACTAATGGCAGCAAAGGCCAAAATTTCTATTCTTATTGGTGAGAAAATGCAATATTTTAGCAAAATTTTCTCATGTGAAATTTTAGACACTTTCAAAATTGAGAAATGAGATATCAGTTTTCAGAAAAATATAAATTATTGATTTTGCATCAATAAAATATGTTTGTATGTTTGTACGCGTGCATGTTCATGTCGAGAGATATTGTGCCGATGCACTGAAAATGCATTAGAATACAAATAATCGAAAAATAAAAACAATATGGTGGGTTGCATAATGATAAGTAATTTTTTTTTTCAAATTAAGCTTTAATATATTTTTATAAGAATATACACATGTACATATGTATGTATGTATGTATGTATGTATATACAAAAAAACGAAGGTAGATTCATATACAATAAAACTTTTTGATCATGAAGCATGACGCAATAAGAAAAGGATAATATAGCACAAAAAACAATTTTCCGGCTCTGATATTCCGGTCGTATGTGTATTTGAAGTTTGTAAAAAAGGTGAAACTTTTGGTACTACTTTACTACTTTATTGAATATCTGGCGGACGCTGTGATGTTAGTCTTTGTATAAAGTTTGAAATTTTTATTTAAATGGTTGTTATTATAAAAGTAATAGCATAATATTTTTGGCCTTATAATAATGTCACTCACTATATTATATACATACATATATGGGTAAGTACAACAATATAGAAGAAGAAATAAACAATCACTGCAGATCAAACTGTATCTTTGTTTATACCATATTCTGAAATAAATGTTAAGACAAATACCCTCAGCAAATTCTCCACTCGAAAAGTCAACAAAATTTTTAAAAATCCACACATACATATATGCGTATATGTACACACATATGTGTACTATTGCAAAAAATATGCATACATACATATGTACTAATGTATGTACATAAATACATAGAAAGAGCCAACATTGCGTATACGCAACATCTAAGTAACCACCTAGAATTTGCAGAGACAAATGGCAAACGATTGAGGAAAAATATTGTATATGTATACATACCAACCTAAGAGTAACTAGTACATATTGCGGAAAAAGATATTGTTTGGTAGGCACTAATGCGATTTTGTTGGTGTACAAATTCACTGCAGCAAAATTGATTGCATTTGCGTATTCGCATCTTACACTGCTTGAACAATTACTTTTCTGTGTTTTTCGTGTCCCACTTGTCAACAAGCAATTTTACCATCGCAATTGCGGAAGTATTGGGGGTATTCTCTGAGTCTTACAAAGCCCTTGCGCGGTGCACGGTTTGCACGGTTTGCAAAGCTGTCCCATACGAAAACCGGTTTTTACCTTGCAATCTGTGCACCGTGCAAGTGCTTTGCAAGATACAGAGAATACCCCTATTGTAAAATTAAAAAGACATTGCCGATTCGCTAAGTGTACATAGCTACTTAGAGGAGATGGTGGTATTGCCTTGAGAAGTGCTGACTGTTGTTTTTTGATTATGTGGATTAAAGCTTGACTTACAATAATCTAGTTAAGAATTGGCTAGAATCGCAGACAACAAAAAAGGGTACGCAATGCAAAACTAGTAGACGAAGTTAATTCGCTATGAAAATATATTTTTATCTATGTTTCGAAAAGACAAAGCAAGTGTGCGCACAAAAGCACAATAAGTTTTCCTTGATAAGCTTGAAAAGGATTCACAAATCCGCCGCTTAACTTTATGTTTAAAAAAATATATATAAAGTAATACACATGCTGCCCAGCTGAAATCCAGCGCCGAGAATTCCTTGATATGCTCGTATTTCGAATTGTTTTGTAAATCTGCCGTGGAAAATTTTCCTCATAAAGTGTAAATGGGCTTCGTTCTAAAATTGTATATACAGTTCTTATCACTGATAACTTAAGTACAGCTATGTTAGCCCAGTCAAGTTAGCTCAAGAATTATGGGTAAGGTAACAATAATTCGAAAAGAGCAGAAATTTGTTATATACATATGAATTGTGAAAAGTCCCCATCGATTTCATAAATACCTGAACTTATTCAAAATCAAAAGTCACATAAATTGGTATTCTTGAATTTTTCAGTCAAACTATAAGTTGTATAATAAAACTTTCCTCTCGAGTTTTTGCGGACTCTGTATGGCTTACAACCATGTAGAGGAGGTAACTTATGGTTCAAATTGGGCCTTACCCACTATTTTTTGCAGGGACCGAACATAAATAATGAAATGAAATGAAATGAAATAACAGTTATTGATGAAAACTGTCATGGAAAAATTCACTAAGTACGAAGGAAAAGTTCTACAACTAAGTGATACATACCAATCGATTTCTTTTTTCACTGAGACTCAAATTTAAAAATAAATTTTTATTTACAATTTTTATGCAAAATTAAAAAAATAACAATAATTTTTGATTTTTATATTATAAATCCAAAATAACAATTATTTTTGATTTTTATATCATATATCTTAGATAACAGTTATTGGAGACTTTTATTTATAACATTTTTCGCAGTTAAGAATGTGCTGGAAAGTTTGCTACGACTTATACAAATGACTTTTACAAGTATGATTTAAAAAATAAAAGTCAGTGGCTGATTTTTATTTACTTACTTTACTTTATAAATAAAAGTCTTCGTTAACTGTTATCTAAGACATATAATTTAAAAATCACAATAACTCTTATTTGCAGATTATTTAGATAAAAATCAAAAATAATTGTTATTTTGGGTTTATAAAATAAAGTTCAGAAATAACGGTTATTTAAGGAGTAATTAAATAAAAGTCAAAAAATAATTGTTGTCCCTGATTTTTTCTCCAATAAATATTTTTTATATAAATACATGCAAACATACTAGTCTTCCCTCTCCCGATTTCTTATGGGTGTTATCATTTATAGAGATCTTGCTTTGACGTGCAGGAATCCGGAAGTTTACGGATTCTTTCATTTGGATATTTGGACGGAAAGTAAATTTTGTATTTTTTTTTTTTTTTTTTGTCATTATGCAATATTGTCGACAAATTAATGATTAGATCCTAAACTACTAATCCGGTTAGAAGAAATCGTTAACATAGAATATATATAATAATAGATTCGCGCATACACAATATGTTAGTGTTTGGCCGAGGTTCTCCTCCGATTTGTGGTGTGCGCGTTTTACGCCGACTCCGAGCGGCGATTGGATTTTTATGAGAAGCTATTTTTCATGGCAGAATACTCTCGGAGATTAGCCACTGCCTGCCAAGGCGCGACCGCTATTAGAAAACACTTGTGTGTTTTTATTTTTTTATTTTTTGATACACAGAAGATAGCATATAGAAGATAGCCAATTTAATATTCTTCACAACTGTGAAAATAAATTTCAGACTGGCCAGCTAAGTCTCTCAAGTTCACCGGGCTGTGTTTAAACGTATTAATTTGTAATGTATGCTTTATATTAAATTTCACAAAATATTAAACAGTTTTCATTTACATACAATAATATAGTTTCAAATCATTACCTTGTTAATTATTTGTGAATCCATAGATCCATTACCATTTTCATATTTTTTCAACCTTAACTCTCCAAATTCGTGAATGGATTTCCTAGAAATTACATACTCTCAATTCTGATTTATCTATGAATTTTAAAAGGTTTTCAAGCAGAAATTAAATCAGTAATTTCTTGTTAAAGCCTTTTATTATTCTCTATGGCACTTATAAGCAAATTAATTGGAAATATGTATGCCATGCACTTCCTTAAGCAGTTGCATAATTAAATACTTAAGCAAGCAAATGGTTATTCACTTTAGCTGTTAGTTATTCCGACATAATGTTATTCCCATTCCCCACTGGCAAGGAAATTACTTTAAGTGGCACATCTATTCGCTGATGATCAAATATTTTATTTATCAACTTATTATTGACAAATACTAGTACATTGGGCACTTTACGAAAGATGGTGGTACATCAGTCTGCTATGCCCTGTCAGGTATCCGGTGAGAGTTCTTAAACCCTCCCCGCTATAATTTAGCAGCCGCTCACTTGTTCCACGAGAGGGAGTTATAAATCTTTTACCCTTTGTCGTGTGCCGTTGGGCTATAATTTGCAAATCCCCCTATCCCCTTAGAAAGCTCTGCTGTGTATCCTGTGGATGGACCAAAGTAGGGCTAAGAGCCGAACTGGCACCGTTGTCCACCACATTTCGCTAGAGAGTCAGCCCTATCGTTATCATCGAAGCCCTAATGGCCCAAAGCCCACCACAAGGCTGTTACTCTGTTGTTTGTTCCTATTTTGTACCTTTTGGCAACTGTGTAGTACCTTTGACACCGGTTTTGCAAGTATCAGTTGCTCTCTTAATCCTGCCCGGCTGTCCGACATGGTGTATATTGTTGTCCCATTTGTCCTTCTGTGAAGGCATTCGTGCACACAGACTTCAATTGCGAAAATTTCCACCTGGAATATGGTTGGGTATATGCCCATCCCGACGCTCCAGAGTTTCTATCCTTAAGTTGGGAACTACCTGTGTGCCAAACTTGAGTTCCCTCGCTGAACATGGCAATTATCATTCAAGTATTCTTACCTTGTAGGGTTTCATAAAAGTCAGCTTTAATAGCATTGAGTCTATGAATTTCACTATGGCATCATTTATAAATGGTTTTTGGACAGCCAATTATGCCTTAAGACCCTTCTTAGGTTCGGCAGTCTCAGTGCGCTCCAGGAAGCCTCTTTGTCCTGAAGTGTAGCTAGAGTCGGTATGTTTGTGATGAGTCCAAACGCCTCTGTCGCGGCACGTTCGCATGGCCTCCGTTATCACCACACAAATCAGGCGGTGCAGCTTACCCAGAGTGACGTTTGAGTTAGCTTTCTTGTCGTTTGGCCACCAGGCCAGTGCAGCATAGGTGACAATCGGTTTTATCACTGTACTGAATGACCAATGCGTTAGTTTCGGGGATTTGCCCCAAGTTTTTCCATGGATCCTTTCACAAGCGTGAAATGCCCTCGTGGTTTTATTGGTAAGCGCTGGGAGATGTGAGTTCCAGCTGAGTCTCCTACCTACATAAGTAGTATAAGCCTCTTGTAAGAACTTAATCTATGTCCCAGCACACCATCCTATGGCTCTATGTTTAGAGCGGAATACATCATGGAGCATAAGGTCTCCTCATCCCATTAAAGCCGTTCCCCTTAAGTCTTTCTTAAAGTTCGTCCACAACCAGTGTTCACAATAGTGGAGAAAGGACCCCCTCCTTGCGGGCAGACACGAGTGCCGTTTGCCTACTACCTTTTGGTTCGACTATTATGGTTCTGGACTTCAGCATGAGCCTGATATGTCAACAAAATGCACACAGGGCTATCTGTTGGGTTATGCCATGTATTGCAGAAATGAAAGATTTCACTGCTTTAAAGCTTTTTTCAAGTAAAATTGTCAAATATGTAGCGCTACTCAATCACTGTTATATGAGTAAATTTTTTTCCAAAAATACCTAGTTTGTTTCCACTGTGCAGTACTATTTACGTCCTCAGTGCCAGTAGTCAACAAGAATTTTGGCAAATGGCAAGCAATCATTCAATCAATTTGCATCCTGGCAAAATTGGCGCACACACGCCTAATTTTATGCCAAAGGAATGCTCTGAGTGAATTTTTCGTAACTTCCGACTCGTAAAGTACGCATTCAAGTAAGGCGGAAACTGAAGTTAAATTGGCGCTATGGATACGTAAAATTAAGGAAATATCTGCGCATCTATTTGAAGTTAAAAAAGTGACAAGAATGCATTGAATACGGGTTTCAGTGCCGAATTTTGAGAGAAAATATTTTTCAAACGACAATTGCCGGCAAATAAGTAGAGAATATTTACATACAAAGAACATTGCCCACCAATAACTGATTATCTTATTCAAAAAGTGAGCTCATTCAATTTTTTATATGAAAATGCAAATTCAGCTAATTGCGGCCTTTTATGAGCACATATTTTTTTTTATTCTTACTGCCCTCTCTTACCGAATAAATAATATTTATTTCGCAAGCCGCAATGTAGTCATACATAAAATTTATATTTATTTATACACGCGTACACTTGTCCACAAGTTTTATGAAAATGAGCAAACTTTAAATTTTTTCCCCCGTTGCCTTTTCCTAACTCCACTGCACTCAACGAACTTATAATACCGCAAAATGCACCACATCAAGTGCTATCATCCGGCATTAACTTTTATTACTTCCCAATGCCATTGCCACTTTTTTTCGTTCAAAAAGTTTCAAGCTCCATCTTCTGAAAACCAGCGCTTGCACTGTGCTCAATTGATTCTCTCGCTTCCCCACAATGCATGTGCTCTTCTTTTGCTGATTTTTTATCTTAACACGCCTTCTCTCTACACATTCTCTGTCTTATGCTAGCAAAAATTTCCAAATACTTTTGGAGAAAAGTTAAGTCGGCGGGTCAACGCCAACGCTGCTGAGGGCAGAAGTTGCAGTAGCGACGAAGATAGTAACAGACACAATACATTTGTACGTACGGATGTATGTATGTTTGTATGTATGTACTAAGCACGCAAGTTTAATACTCGTAACTATGGTGGGTGAGATGGGAAAATACGATGAAATAAAATATTTATAAATGAGAATGGCCATGATAATGAGTTCCCGAGTGAAGATGACAGCAGCGGTGATAAAATGCAGATAAAACTTTAGCTGTTTTCGGGAAATTGATAAGAAAAAAATGATTAAGGCTGCGGGTAGATGTCCTGGATTTCTATTATAATTTAATATGACAAGTGATTTTGATCTCTTTTTTGTATTTTTCATATTATGTTAATGGAAATGTCCATTACGTTTTTTTTTTTTAATATTTTTATTTGATAAATATAAGCAAACGAAAATATTTATGTACACGTAAGGACTTGGCACCTTTTCACGTTTAGGTGACGATATA